ATATATATATTTATATATATAATATTTAGCGCCATCGTCGTTCAGGTATGAATGTATATACTATCTATATATATATATATTATATTAACATTCTTTAATTAAATAGAGCTTTCGTAGCAAAGTATGTATAAATAGACTATTTTTGCACAGACCATGATCCTTTCGAATTCGCTTTATCTCATCTGACTGCTTATATGAATGAGAATCGTCTGTTTATTTATCCTTGAGATCTGTCTACATTTAGATAATTTTACCTGAAAAATAATCGGACGAAAGAGGAATTTCTGTTCTTTGAGAATTCCTCGGTTCGAAACCGCTTTCTTTTTACGCCATTAATACTGTGTATATATACCAATGACAAAATCGATACGATTTTTTTTCAACGCGCTCGTATCTTGTCATGAATGAAAAAATGCGTTCCATTAAAATAGAAACGGCTTTCGCAAACGGGGCAGCGTATAGAAATTATTGCATCACGTTCGCGTGTACGCTTCATGAAAAATTAACAGGCCGAAAGAAATTGGTCAACGATCATTTAGCAAAATCATTTGATATTTCTAAGATGTTAATATTGCTAATTCTTTAAAATAATTTTAAATTATGACGATAAATACAAAATAAAAAATGTATTTGACCTAGAAGTTAATATTTTTATTATCTCTGATATATCTTTTTTTTTATTTCCATTTATTTTATTTCTGTAAAATATAGAATGAATTAAAAATTCATTTTATTTAATTTTCCGAATCCTAAATGACTTTAATATTGATTAAAAATTTCAATTTAATTCGATCTCTAGTTATAAAAATTGTAAAACTTATCTTCATAAAATTATTTCTTTCGGTTTATCTATTTTTCTTAGCGAAAAGTCACCGTTTATCCATTTTTCGTCTTATTTAATCTTACATATCACACCTAGATGCTGGATGCACATAGAAATCTATAAATATAGGCCAGCTTTTATAGGCATCTCAAATCCCTCTTAGCTTTTCATTTTACGAAGCTTTTATTGTTGTTGGTATTAAAATAGTGCGATCTTAAAATAGCTGGCGTTTTGTGATTTCTTTTAATCTTATTGCATTCAGAGGGTTCTTAAACATGCAATTTGATGTTTATTACGATAAGGAATTATCGCTAATGTTTAATTGCGCTCTTATCTCGATTCGGAAGTACGATTTAGTGACACCTGTAACTTTCTTTCTTGAGTTTTAATCTTAGAAACATTGCACTGATTATTTTCCCTGATATAAAGATACTTCTCGTTTAATTATCTTTTATTTATAAATAATTCTTTCTTGCTCTGAATTCGGCGATCGGGAATAATTGTTTCTCAGAGCTATTGATCTTACCTTTTTCGTGTGGTATTTTTAATTGAACGA